AAGCAAAGGATTTGCAACTAAATATTAAGTCTCATTCACTTTAATCTATTTTAAGTTTATATGTTCCAATACTTTTGCTCACCTAAAAATTTTGTGTTCCATTAGAAATAATGCTATCTTCTAAGTTGTGCATCAGATCCAGATGTAAATACCTGGAAATAAAAGCTGAAATGTTGATCTCTTGTCTCATATTCATCTTTTGATGTCAAACCAAAATGTTTTCAGTCTACAACAAAAGTAAACGAATTGGACTCACTGTTCCAATACTTTTGGAGGGCACTGTATAAATGTAGGCTACATAGTTACACTCACCACTAGTGTTAGCATGTTAACATTTGCTAATTAGCACCTATTTAAGTTAAAGTTAAGGCTGGTGGGAATGTCAGCAGTTTTGCAGGTATTTGGTCATAAACCAAATTTTTTGACATGGCAGTACTAGATGAAAGGTCAGGGCATAAAATCTTGGACAAATTATTTTCTGGGCACCATGGATATCTGTACTACATTTCACTTTAATAACCAGCAGTGATGTGATGAGCAGTACCTAAGGGGCTGATAAAAGCCCATTTAATATGACCCACCTTTGTAAATTTGTTTCCCCCCTGTGGTTTCCTGAGCACTCACACAGTCACATTTTTCAGTCGGTTAACAACTTCCCAAAGAACCTGTCTCTCTCCTCGCCCCTCTGGGCTTTCCAATATGGACGGGGTGCAGTGAAATAACAAGTTCTTTCAAGCATTAACTTATGAGTTACAAAGTAACCTGTAGGGACAGTTGCCATAGAAACCTAGCTCGTTATAATGAGAAAGTCAAGTATGAAGGCAGAGATGAAGTGCACACCTACTCTTTAAACCACCACCAAAAGTGTTGATAGCGCTTGTACTTTGGCACCAGACAGAGAAGCTTCAGGACAAACATTAAGTTCGCCAGCAGGGGAGATGTGAGGACCACCAGGTTTGTTTGGAAGCATCTGGAAGTAATGGGGCAAAGTGGAGAGTCAGTTTTAAACATTAGGTTATTCAGTAATTGACAAAGTTTTTATTAGGAGAGGCCACAAATCCACTGGGAAATCAACACCTAGATGGGAAAAGTCTGCAGAACAAAAGGACCTACAATGATAGAACCTGATGAGAAGACATTATAAAGGTGAGATTAGTAACTAAGAGCTTACTAAGAAAGATTGAGCTGAGCAGAATTTCAGCTTGTCAGCTTTGGGACAGGGAATCAGACAATGGGCTCCACAGGCTCCAGACCCAGACTGCGTAAAGTAGCTCCATGTAATAGCCTGCAAGAAGAGGGGGCACAGCCCTAACCACAATGGACCCTCCCTGCTCTGCCGGTCACTATGGAGCAACCGTCAGGATCTGTAGGGCGGAAGAAGACGATCTTACCTCCACTGAGACAGGAAATAACTCTTTCCTCTCTCTCAGGTTGGTATCTCTTTTGTCTCTAATTTTTCATTCACAATCAGGCTTTATTTTGCAGACAAATCTGTGATGTGATACTAATTCTGATACTAGATAAAAGTATGTGCATGCTGACGCTGTAAGACCCATGCTTTCCAGGAAACCTCCCACCAAAGCAAAGTAACAATCCAAGCATCATTCACTCCCATCCACCCCGAAGACCCCAGGTTAGCACAGCAAAATCAGCTGCCTGATATAGTTGAATAGGCTATTCTTGTTGCCTGATACACATGAGAAGTTCCTCATCTGTTCAATCCTGTGCTGGGACTCTGGCAGACATAATTTTGCATTATTGGTCCTGACTGGTTGTGATTTTACCCAGACATGCCATCATTATCTCTCCTCAGGCACTGCAACCACTGGCCCTTCAAATTGGCCACACAAGCACTGCCAATCACATTGCCATGGTAATATAAAAAAGAAAGAAAGATTGCTGCTGACTGTCCCAGCATCACTGCCCCCATGCCATCTCAAAACAAGGATTCTGATGTTTGTTGTAGGGCAGGGACTGCAGAGATGGGGGTGTCCACCTGTTTTCTACAATCGACCGGACAGGACACTCTGGCACCGGCAGGATGATTCAGGTAAGGCATCTTGACAAAGTATGGAAGAGCTGAAGTGCATCTGTAACATCAATAATTCAGATCGTGCATTTTTATATTGAGGCAAAATTAAAGTGTGCAGCAGTGCTTAACAGAGATGGAGGGGGGAGAAAGAGGGAGAACAGAGAGAGACAGCTGTGAGTGCGGGCCTTTCCAGTCCCAGTGGGTCTGATTAAAGTGTCTATGGAGTGGAAAGTAGGGTGGTCTACAGCCATAACTGGCCCTCAATGGGATCTATTTTCAGGGTGCAGGGAACAGAAAAGCCCCATACAATTAGATACATAGTCGTAGAGACAAAGAAAAGTAGAGTCTGACAGTCACATGATTCGTTCTATAGAGTGGGTTACTTTCAATCCATGTCTGTCTGCAACAACGTCAACATAATTTTGTTCTGCATTCAAAATCTTACTAAAGAAGTTGTGTGCAGGATTTACTATGATCTGTTGGCAGAAACTACAATATTCATAACTATGTTTTCATTAGTGTATAAACACCTGAAACTAAGAATTGTTGTGTTTCCGTTAGCTTAGACTGAGCCCTTCATATCTACATAGGGAGCAGGTCCTCTTTCACAGACTCCACCATGTTGCACCGCCATGTTTCTATAGTAACCCAGAACCGACAAACCAAACACTGGCTCTACAGAGGTCTATTCTCATTCTTATGTTCTCTTCAAGTTGGGTGTGCGGAGGGGTTTTCAGTTGGTTGCAATCTGCAACCTCACTGTTGGATGACACTGTTGGATAAATCCTGCACACTGTTCCTTTACATAAAATTACACACAGACTGTTTTGGCTGCATGCAATGGCCCAACACCTTATTGAGAACTTTATGTTGGTTATTCCTTTAATTTGTCTGCAAATGTTATCAGCTAAAAGTACTTTAAGCCTCAAAATTAATTGTACTGGCCCCAGCAGGATGACCATAACTACCATTCACAGAGCAAGAGGGGTCACTGAATGGTTTAATGAGTCTGAAAATTATGTGAATCATACGCTATAGCCTTTGCAGTCACCAGATCTCAACCCAATTCAACACATACTGTAGGGAGTTTTTCTGCCGACATGCTGAACCTAGATCAGACCAAAATTTGTTAAGAGACATGTTTAAACATACAACAGCAAGTTGAGTCACAGGTGACACATCAGCTGGCTGGAGTTGAACTGAGACGGGCCAGTTCACACTGTTGCAACTTTACTTTGCAATGGTCTAAATGTACTTTAAGCATACTACTGATGCTAATTTGAACCTTTTTATATACAGTTTGGTATTTCAAGTCTGTGGTTCCCAACCAAAGGGTCACGAGATAAATCTGGGGGGTTGTGGGATGATTACTGTGCTAGCAAAAAAGAAAAAAAAATCTAGTGCTTTGAGGAACAACTTACAACTGATAGACATCTGAAACTTGATGAGGGGACTGGACACTGTGTTTTTGTAAGAGGACACAAGCAAAAGAGGTTGAGTACTGGTTTAATCTGTGACAATGTATTTTACAAGATTGTCAATTTTTTTAAAAATGAAAAATCTGAAAAATAACCAGTAACTATAGCTGTCAAATAAATAAAGAGAAGTAAAAAGTACGATTTGACTCTGAAATGTAGTGAAGTAGAAGTACAAGATGGAAACACACAAGTGAAGTACAAGCAACTCAAAGTTTTATCTAAGTAAATGTACTCACTGTAGCTGCTTTCCACCACTGGTTTCCTTACAGGGAGGATTCCTGGAGGCCCAGACAGCTCTCACTCAACAGGCTCATCGCCATCGGCGAGCTCACCTCCGACAAGCCAGAGAGCAGAGACGACATAAAGTTGTCTACACAGTTAATGGTAAGTCTGTAAAACACTACTTTAGGAAGTATAATTGAATGTGGTGATTGGTTCCAACATCACTTTGTCATTTCATTTGGCCCCTTTAGGTGGAGGAACAAACACAGAAGGCATGCAGAGGCTGAAACTCGTGAGATGGCCCACAGAAAGAGACATGTTCTGGGATGAAACCACAGGAGAAAGCCTGGACCCCAGCTGCCTTCAGGACCCAATATCTCTGCCTCGCCTCTGTGAAGAGAGACAGCCAAACAAACAGCTCCTGTGGGGCAGAGAAGACAGGAACCAGAGAGATCAAGCTCAAGGTCTCAGAGACAGAGAGGAAACAGCTCAACAAAGTGGACACAGGGGACTGAGTTTGGGAGTTGAAGACAGAGGTAAAGCACAGAGGGAAAGTTGTGAGTGGCCTGATGCTGCCAGAAGCTGTCAGACAGCGAGGATAAGAGGTGTAGGAGGGATGTGGGACTATAAACTGGACTGAGAACACTTAGTCAGCCAACTTGCAATACAAACAAAACTCTTGATGTTCCAGGGAAACTTCCTACATGGCTGAGTTTATGACGCCCTCTATGGGTGAAAGTGATGTTTAACAGTGAGAAAACTTGCAGTCGAGGCAGTGGAGCTCATTTAGCCTTCCTACAATATTGATAGCAAACATCCAAAAATACATTGTGTACTTAGTTCAAAGAGTTGGGATTCAAATCAGCTGGCTTTGAAGCTTCTGCTCTATTACTGGGCATTTTTATAGAAATTAGCACAAAAGAATCCCTCGGAATAAAGATCTACCATTATTTGAAAAGATCCGTGGCTCTTGAAGAATAATTAGACTGAAAACAGGAAACTGCTAATTGCACCATCATTCTTCAAGTGGTCTCCCTGAGGCTGCCTCTTGGCGGGTTTAGAGAGGCTGAGAGGAACTGGGATCCTACCAAACACCTGGGGGCCACGGTGGCCCGACAAAAGCCTGGTCCTCAGGCACGGAGTGTTAGATGAACATTGGAGGGATCACATTGCACAGCAGGGGGCTGGACGGAAACTAAACAAGCTAAGATAATCTGGTGGTGGTTGAGTAGCATTATTTTAACAGAAGAAATGAGCATTAAGCTGTATTAAAGAAATGAGAACAGTCTAACATGAACTTTATTGTACTCTACCACTGGGTGTCATTATTGGGCTGAGGGACACAGTGAAGTAAACTCCCACAGTTGAGTAGATAGCAGTGTCTGTAATATTGTAGTACATGTTATGGTATAAAAGATAATTTCAAGAATTTAAGGCTATGCAACCGTGTGATATATTAACATGACGATCCATGCTTTCACAAATTTATTTGAGCCTGTTTCATTTTGATGATTATCATACAAAAGTGTTAATCCCTTTTCTGTATTCATGTATACAAGACTAAACAATGATTATATAAATAAATAATGATTCTGGAAAACACTGAATTAAAGACCCCAAAGGTTTGAGCTGAAGGCACCGGAGCAGAGCAGCACATTAAAACGAGTCCATCTACTTAGCAAGCCATTCAATCAACAAAGCAAAGTCTGCCAGTGAGAGGCCACTGACTGCAGACATGAGGAGCCAGACTGACCACATATTGGGATACTGAGGAGGATTTAGAGTGGCCCAACTCTTCAAAAAAAAAAAAACTTCTCCTTTTCCAGTTCGCTAGCCACACACACTGGGCCTTAAAGCCAAATCATCGTGGAGTTGGAGAGCCGCGAGGTCTCGGTGTCTGCCACTCCGTACTGCTACATAAAAAGAAGGTGAAGGATGCCGTGTGAGCAATTGGTTCCAATTGACAGAGGATTGGTCATGGTCAGCCTTCTGAGTGGAAATCCACGTGAGAATGTAGCATTTGGACCAGCAAGGGGCACAAGAGGCCAACAGCAGACAATGAGGGCACTCAGAGGAGTCTGGCTGCTGTGGAATAGTGGGGCACAATCTCCTCTGATTTAACCCTTCAGTGGCTGGTTATTCATTTGACTTAATACACTGAGGTGGAGCTTCCATAGTAGAAAGGTAACAGTATGAAACTTCATAGTATAGTATAGTTAAAATAATAGTAAACTGTGAGAAACATCTGGAACTAAATGCCCCTCTTTAAATATTTTTTATAATTAGGTATTAATTATAAAGTGGTGTTTGCACTTGTGTTACAATAATCAAGATCAAAATAATATAATTAAAGTTCTACATTAATTAAGCGCCCACACAACCTCAAGAGGTGACTCAACCATTTCCATCCTTGTGACTTTTTCACCAATTAGGCAGGTCCTGCTCGCTGAATGGGACCGGCTGCTTTAAAGTCTCAGAGGGCCAGAGGGTCAGCGCTCAATCACAGTCTGGCTGGAGAGGTTGAGTGTTTGAACTAGCCACTAGTTGACAGGGCGGGGATGGGGTCAAAAGGGGTGGGGAAGTGATTGGTGGAGGGGGCAAAGGACTCCTGCCAGCTCTAAAAGAGGAGCCTTTTGTAGCCAAGACACTGGCCAGAGCAGCCTGGCCTTTCACAGCCCAGCCGCCCCTCTCCTCCAGGCCCACAACAGCTGATGACAAGGCCCCAGCTGCTAATTATCCGGCTGATGGAGAGTCACTGAAGTGGGACTGTCAGAGCGAGGGGTGGCCCTTGTGTCTGCAATGGGATAAATTTGAGGGAGGGTGAAGGTTGGGGGATAAAAGAAGTTGGCCTACAGGGGCAGGTTTTCTTTTAAAAGTAACCATCCATCAACGAAATCAACATTTCTGCCAGTCAAAGTGTGCACATTGTGAACTGTACTGAAGGAACATAAAATGATTCAGTGTGTTAGTCTTTCAGTCTTTCTTTTGGCCTGCTATTTACATTTTCTATCATTTGTGAGCTCTGCAATAACAACAGGTGGCAACAAATTCATTTTGTGGGGTCACATATCCAGTCTGGATCACTGTATTTGTTCAACAGTCTTCAGTCCTATCACAGTATGGTGAACCAAGCACCTTTCCACTGCTGTCCTTTGTATCCATGCTACAGCATCATCTGCCCAGAGGATACTGGAGCAGTTCCAGTTGAATTCCATATGAAGTACTCTTTGGATTGAAGTTCGCGGGCTGAAAATAAGACAGACAGACAGACAGACAGACAGACCATTTTTTGGTTTTAAGAAAATGTGCATACAGAAGAACAACAAAACTACTGTGAGCTTACATGTTATAATCCGGGGTTTGGCAGAGGAATAAACCTGCACTGAATGCAGGTCCACACAGCACCCAGAGAGCGTCATGTCAGGCACTTTGAAATACAACTGTGAAGATAAGGGCAGGAGTGTTAGGACAGAGTATTAGGGCCACATTGAGAAAAAAAAAACTAAGATTTCAAGAATTAAGTCATAGTATTATTACAATTAAGTCAAACTATTTCAAGAAAAAAAGCTGCAATGCTACATGATTAAACTCTTAAACTTATTAGGAAACAGAAATGCCAGAAAGTCAGGTGACATGTTATAGAGTGTCGTAGAGTGGTAATGATTTTAAAATCTAATGATTATATATTAATAAATCCCTTATCCATTTGACCTTATCCCATTAGCTGTCGAATGATTCAAATCTTTCAATCAGACTACTTGGCTCTTCTGATTATCACCACGCAGATTAACTTACTTTGATATAGGCTGTAAGTCCTGTGCAGAGGGGGTCAGAAGGTCCCCGTGTCGGCCCAGAAAAGCTGATCTTGCCCTCCATTGTGACCTCACGACATTTAGGGAACTTTTGTCCTAAATATCAGTTAAAAGGAAAAGTCATCATGAGTTCATTTTTAAGTACACAGCATTATTAATATGATTTTTTTTTTTTTTTTTAAACATTGATGTTCAGGAGCACAGTGCCTACCGAGGCCCCAGACCAGCAGGTTCTTCTCCTTTGAAACATCCAGTTGTCCAGAGCTCACCTTCAAATCCACAACACCCATGTGATCCCTGCACAAGACGCAGAGCCCACATGCAGATGTTAGCACAAACACACTGATTGTAAGTGGTTGGGCTGAACCACTTTAATCAACACAGAGGCAACTTATAAAAACTGATTTGACTCAGGAGTACAGTTTATCTAGATTGGATCATTCTTAAAATGAGACAGATTTTTTCCTCTCTGCTCTACAATAAAACCCACAGGGACAATGTACTGTAAGTGTATTTTATGATGTAAGAACTGGACAGTAAAAGGAGCTACTGATAAAACAAATGTTTTTGGAACAACATTTCTGGGACATCTCTGCAGCTGAGTTTGAGACTTGTAGGTTAGGTTATTAGGTTTATTACTCGGCTGTTGGAGGACTCATTTATTCAGCTAAGACAAGTTATTTAGTGCACTGTAACGAGACCAGTGATGGTGTTTTGCAAAGAAACGATGTTACAAAGGCCCATGTGAGAGACCATAAAACAGTTATGAAAGAAAATGTTTTCAGCAGCAGATAATAGCAATAATATGTCCTTAGTGTAATACATGGTGTTTCTAATATTAATATTTAGTAATTCAGCAGTTTTTGAAAACTAATGATCTCATTGATGTTTTTATTTGATTGCGAGCGGGACTTCATTTTACACCAGTTTGCCTTCATAGCTGGAAAATGATTGCATCCGTAGTTAATAAAAACAATTATCCAACTTCTATATCTACAAATCATTATGCTTCAACTCTTTGAACAGAAAATCCCACACACTGCTCTTGCTCAGCTTTAAAATGTATTCGTAACACTAACGTTTCAGTCCTCCTGGACCTTCGTCAAGAGTGTTCAACACCATTATTTACAACACTGAGCTTAAATAGATACTGCTCCACCCAGCAATGTGTGAGATTTTTCTGTTGAAAGACTCAAGTGATATTTTCCAACACATCTGCATCTGAGACAGTTGGATGTCTCAGATACCTTTCTTCAAACTAATTAATACTCAGAGTCTAAGACAGAAAGGCGCCTTATGGAACTTCACATATTTAGTTTGTCATGACACAGATTTCTGCTTCGTGTAAACACAACAGTTTAAAAAAGAGACTTCAGGCTCTGATTGGATATCAAGAATAACCCTCAAAGATGGCAGACTGTGAGGCATTTAACCTCTTTGCTCTTAACCCAATTGCCCTGCTACTGTAACCACAACTTTTTCTTTACAAGAATATGTTAAAATTTCCCTTTACGTATATTTAGTGCTTAGGAATTTAGCACATATTAATATATAAGTGGTTTTGAATAAGAGTATGTATAACGGTAATGTGTAATATACACACACAGAAAAAGACTGTTAGTTATACTCTTCTGGTTTTAATATAATTTGGTTGTTTTGTCTGTAAGTTTCTAATCTGTTGTCATGTCTTTAATGTTTTGTAGCTGACGTTCTGCATCAACTAATGGGGATCCTAATGAAATCATTACATACAGGAAACAAACGCTGGCAGCAGGTGCTCAGATCTAAAAGAGCACATCTTCCTGTGCTTCGTACCTGTTAAAGAATGGCAGGTGTGCTTCACAGTACTCAAAGCTGTTCTTCACACTCTCATGAAGTTTGAGAGTTACTGACACATGAAGCTGGTTCTCTTTTTCCCTCAGCTGATACGAACCGAGGATAGGGGGAACTGGGACCTGATGAAAAAAAGGCAGGAATCACTTCAGAGATTAGGACTAATATGTAGTATTAGAAGTATTTTAGTGTGAATGTTTCATACCTGAGATGTATAGCTGCATAGTCTGAAAGGCTCCAGAGGAGGAGAGAAGGGGAACTTATATGGCCCAGAGAAAGCTGAGCCATCAGAGTTATCCACACTGCTGGCACTCAGGATACTAGGATCCAGTGAAGTGACACAAGGATGGACTAGGATGTCCTGAAGTGGAGAACCGTTTGGTGGCAGTGTGAGGGTCACCATCACATTTGGGAGCACCCCTTCTACTTCACACTGTTGAGAGAAGGAAGGAAAAGAATGAAAACATGCAAAAAAAAAGTTATAACATTACTTGCTTTCCTTTACACCGTGTTCTTACTTTGCATGTCACAGTGCCATAAACGTCCCACAGGTCCTGTCTGCTGCGGTTACCATACTGCATGGAGCGCACGGTTTCTGTCAGTGCCACATTCACCACAGCTCGACCACGGTGGAGCCCCGTCTTCCAGGCTGGCTGCTTCTGGTTCCCAGCAGGAGTGGGCACTGTTGGTGTAGCAGGTGCCCCCAGTTGTGGCACATCCAGGGGTGTGCCAAGTGGACAAACCTGCAAGAGTACAGAGGGTAGCATCGCCAGGCGAGAGGCCAGCCCCTCGCTATCAGGCTTAGCCCCAGAACCGAGGAGAAAAGTCTGCAGACCTGCCAAGAGTGTGAGGCCCTGTGAGACAGACAGCAGGCTGGCAAGGGGTGGCCGTGGCTCAGCAGGGGCATCCACTAAAGGCAGGCAAGCTAGGGTAAGAGGCCCTTGTGCGATGGCCAACACTGGCCAAAGTATTCCCTTTCTAGGACCATCCACATGCAGCTCCAGGGCTGGTGACCGCTGACGATAAAGGCAATCATCTCTGAGAGCTACATATGGCTTGTCTGGGTCTGACAGCCCTAACTCAGTGAGCAGGAGCTGCAGCACAGTGTTGTCTTCTGGGACTTCTGTATAGGAGGAACCTGCTAGGATCTTTGCACGGTGCTCCACAGTAGCAAACCTCCTGTGGGGGGAGACACAAGACATTAAAACACTTCTGCAGGCTACAAGCAGTGTGGCAGCTGAGATTTTACGACATTAGAGTGCTGCTACGGTGCTGCTAATGTTAACAGGAAGTGAAATGTGACAGCCATTATAACTCATATACATACCTCGCAAAGCGTATTGACACATTTTCTCCCTTCTCATGAGAAATAATCCACAAAGCACGCACACTCATCTGTCCGGCTGCACTTAACTCCTCCAATTAGAAACTATTCTTTAACTTCAATACTAATATTCGCATCTCATCGTGTGTTTATTAAACAAATTCATACACTGAGGAGAATTTAAATGTAACGCAGCAGCTTACTTCCTGTTGTTGTCTCATGTGACAGTTACCACCAATCACAAGACATCCGCGCATGCGCACTAACGAGCCGTTATTCCCACCCTTTCCCCACCCATACAGGAAGCTGGATTGCTAACCAGCTATCTGTCAACAAAGGGTAAAACTGTACGAAATCGGGAAATCCATGTGGAAGTCGGCGCTGTTGCCGACTCCGAGCTCCTTCCTCTAAACTGCGTTTCCCTCCGCCGCCAGCTGACTCCTGAACATGGCGACAACTGCTCAACTGTTCGAGGTAAAAATGACTGCTGCACCGGAGAGCTGTGTTAGCTGTCAAGCTAGCTAGGTTGCTAACTATTATTAACGGTAGCTTAACGGTCCTCATTCATCCTCCGTGTGCACAGAGGACACATAATGACCCACACAGCCGTCGGTATATAGAAAAATAAGGACCAGTATGGTTTATTGGAGTTATTCGGGGGTGACGTTAATGTTACTGATTGTTAATGACTGTCAAATTAAGACAAATGCTGTTAAACGTCATAGCAGGGTGTAACGCTGTTTGTGTTGTAGGTTAGCGTCAAGTCTATTCTTCCTCTCGCATTTCGAGTAATAGCTGGTGTTGTGCGGATGTTTATGTGTGAGGTTATTAACAGTACACTCATCACTTCCTCTCCTCTGCAGGAGCCCTTTGATGCAGATGAGTACATCGAAAGGTTGGCATGGAGGACACCTGGAGGAGGCTCCAAAGGAGGAGCTGAGGCATTTGACCCCAAAAGGTAACGTTACTCACATTTTACCATACACACCTTCCTGCCCCTGAGCATGAGTCTGTAACTCACTTGAATATCATACTCCAGATTTTAACCTTGACTCAGTCCTACATAAATATTGGCTGTTTCATATTACTTTAAAAACAAAGCATCAATGTTGTCCTATCAAGAGTATTTTTCCACAATGTAGATTTACTACAGGGTGATTATATGCTGCTCTTGAATCCATTGAATTGTATATTCTTGCATGCATATTTAACTTGATTACTTATATGATAGTGACAAGCACATTTCTCAGAAATGCTTGCTTTTGTTTATTGCAAATAATATAGCTTTATAAATAAGCAATGCAGCTTTTTCACTAATGTCTGCAGACAGTGTAACATAGCTGAACATCTCTAAAATAATGCTTTCTCTTGGTATGACTTATTACTTTCCTCCTGACCTATTCCTTGATATAATTTATGTCTCATCCTTTCAAATTTTTACTGAAGTTGATTGGATGTTGACATAAAGATATTCTTCCTCTATCAGGTCAAGTCATGCTAATAAACCAGAATACCCACATCGCTGCACATTTTCCTTTTCCTGCAGTCATTGTCTGAACTTCTAAAAGTCCAACTTTTAAAAGGGTTAAGTGCAAAAAATGGTTTCAGCTTTACTTAAACATAATTGAATGTGTTTTAAGTTTAAAGTTTTTTTAATATAAGTTAAGATTCTTTATTTGCAGATGTCAGTATCAACTTGCTAAATAGTGAAACAGAGTTAGCCCTCCTGCACTTGCCAAAGCTCATCTTAGTCTCTTCTATGCTAATTTAGTGTTTTTGATGGTTGTGTTGGAGAAAAAAACAGGAAATATCTACGTTTGAGATATTTTTCATGGCATTTTCACTGCTTGTTGTTGTGTTTACACTTGGGGACCGAGTTATTTCTCGTAAGCAAAAATGCCATAACAGTTTAACTATACTGTGGATCCATCCTGCCTTATCTACTTCCTCCACAAAACTGTTGCCACCACCTCCTCGGAAGCTCTTAGCGACGAGTCAGAGACAACATATCTGTGGAGGCCACCATACTGTGAGTCACCAGCCAGGGAATGAGTGTCTATTGGGAAGGGATGGGAGATGTCTTTAAGCTGTAGCCAGTGCTGAGGGAATTAGTCAAGAGATTATACACTCATCATTTTGGGATGTTTCCTATTCTGTGAAATGTGGTGCTGACTTAGAACATTTGCTCTGCAGTCCTGATGGCACTTAAAATGCAGCTGACGAAGTTGCTAGTTTTCAGAGCTTCTTAAGTCTGGGGACCCAGGAATTAAGCCTCCGGCACTATTCTATAACTAACTATGACTATAACTGTGAGGTCAGTGGGACAGATTTAACCTTGTGGTACTCAATTACTCCTCCAGAGTAGCCTAGAGTAGTAGAGAGCCTTTTTGTGTGTTTTACCTGTGGTGTATGTTGATTAGACCACTGTGAAGTTCTGGATCTACAGTCTTTCTGTGTTCTGTGATAGGCTCTTGGAAGAATTTGAGAACCACATAGAAGAGCTGAAGCAGTTGGATGAGAAGATCCAGCGACGGGTTGAGAAGCTTGAGCATCAGTGTCACCGCGAGGCCAAGGAGTTCGCCCACAAAGTGCAAGACTTGCAGAGAAGCAACCAGGTGTGTTGTATGGTCAAGTAGTCAGTAACACCCACCTGAATGTCTTAGAACTTTAAGTACTGTTTTAGTTATCTAATCACAGAACAACTTTATCTTTTCTTCACGTTCTTTCTGTTCTTTGTCATTTTAGGTGGCCTTTCAGCATTTCCAGGAGCTCGATGAGCATATCAGCTATGTGGCGACCAAGGTTTGTCACCTTGGCGACCAGCTTGAGGGGGTGAACACACCTCGGCAGAGAGCTGTGGAAGCCCAGCGTCTGATGACCTACTTCAACGAGTTCTTGGATGGAGATCTACGCAGTGACGTCTTCAATAACCCAGACAAGGTGAGAATTCTACATATGCTCCTTCCATTCACTTCAGTGGAGGTGTGCGTGTGTGTGACCAGTGACGAGGACCCCCACTGTGACGCTGCTGGAGGTGAGAATGAACAGGATTATGAGGTAAACCATCCATATTAATTTGTCAAGTTTATCCCTTTAGTTGGATCCCTTGGCTAATTTGGATTAATAAACTGTCATTTGGAGTCTGACAATAGCTGGCTGATTGACTAGCATGGATGTCAACATGCTCATGTCAACCCTAATTGCATTTACAGAAGGTTGTCTGGGAGCGAGAATTTGGTTGGTCTTCAGCTTTGTGTCGCATTACAGCAGCAAAGAGCTTGTGGCATTATAGTACATGTAAGGGCGGTGATAACATGCATGCAGGAAGATGAGATGCACACTTTAACTCAGTTCCTGCCTACACAGGGACCATGTTAATGTTAGACAAGTGACCCCGGAAAGTTTGATTTTGCAGTTTTCTAAGTGACAGTAGAGAGATTGGGATGCTTTAGATTAATTCCTGTTAGCAGGAACATCATTAGTGGATGCAGAGCAGTGAGTCTGGAGGTCAATCCCAGAGACGAGAGCTGGAGATGGAGCTAGTTTTCTGGAGAGGCATGCAGAAATATCTGGCCAGATTCCTTTTCCTGAGCATACCTCCAGACGAGGGGGAAAGAGGAAAGCTGCAAGTGAATAGCTGAAGGGGGATGGCTTTGCTAATCCTTCTGAAAGGGAGGGCTGGGCCGCCAGCGTGGAGACAAGTGCTGCTAAACCCTGACTGCAGGGAGACGGCTACATTACTTACATGGGATTTAGCTAATCTTAGCTGGGGGACAGATACTTAGAAAACCTTCGCCGAGCAGAAAGGCTGGATCCTCCTCACGGGAGCAGAGTAATGATGTTAGCTGAGGCAGGCATCTGCGGGAACAGAGGAGTTGCGGACGGCGGGCCTTTCGTAGGTCTGGGGCTTTTTCAGCCAGTGTGTATGTCAGGAGGGGCGGGGGAGGGGGGGTTCTCGACAGGGCCCCCTTTTTTAAGACAGATATCCCTGGCCGGACAGATTATTGAAGGCGATTTAGACTCCTGTGGGATTACAGCCCATTCAGAAAAGGCATGCCAATATAGAGTTGGATGTGCTGCTAAGTCAGGACTGCTGCTGTTGCTGCTGCCGATGCCCAGGTGAGCGCAGCCTGTCTGTTATCAGCTCCCTGTTCAACACGGGGAGGTGGAGGAGGGCAGCTCTAAAATGATGATCCCCCAAGTGGAGACACCGCCGGCGGCCTGCCAGCTTTCTGTCTGGATGTCCACCTCTCGTGGTCCTGTCGTGCTCTCTCTCTCTCTCTCTCTCTCTCTCTCTCTTTTTGCCTCACCTGACTCTCTCTTTCTCACCCTCGCTCATTCTCTCTCTCCCTCAGATTAAGGAGGCTGCTGATATAATTCAGAAGCTGCATCTCATTGCCCAGGAGCTGCCGTTCGACAGGTGAGTCAGGCATCCTGGAGGCAGCTTTAGACAAGAGCACTGTCAAACAAGGGGAAGGTGGTGTATTAGTGATGTAGATTATTCCTCATAGAGTAAGCCCCACGCTGCACAGATCGAGTATTATGGCATATTAATTCAGTATCGTAATATGTTTCTAGTAATTTAACAAACATAGTGGGATATGATTTGTAATGGACTCCTTGACGAGTAACTATCTTCTCCTCTGACAGATTTGCAGATGTGAAGGCAAAAATTGCAAGTAAGTTTGTAAAAATACTCATGATGTCCCCATTACAAATACAACAGAGGTTAGCTACAAATAATGACATCATTTTATGTGTCTTTGTGTTTGTTTTGTGCTTCTACCCAGGTAAGTACCATGACTTGGAACGGCAGTTAATCCAGGAGTTCACAGCTGCCCAGCGCAGGGGTGAGATTGGACGTATGCGGGAGGTGGCAGCAGTTCTGTTACATTTCAAGGTGACCTGGAAGAATCATATTTGATGTCTACATTTGATTTTTAGTTCACATATAATCTAAATGTCAGTCTTTAGTCTTGTACATCTCTTAACACTGCTTTGTATCTGCACTCCAGCGATGTAATCTTGCAGAAAAGTAACTTCTGGGTCTTTTTGTTCAAGGGCTATGCACACTGTGTGGACGTCTATATCAAGCAGTGTCAGGAAGTGAGTGTAAAAAGTTTCTCTTATACATAATATTCCACTTTTTTGTTGGCCCTTAATATCCAAATATTCTTGGTTAACCCTTTGTTTGTCTCTTTAGGGGGC